TTTTCACAGGTTGTGCAAGATCTATATGATTATGTAAACCCTAAAACGGGTAAACATTCTCCATTGGTATCCAGCGCCTTAATGAAGGTAGTTAAGGCCAACCAACGCGTACTTGATTCTACAATCGACTATCAGCGTGATTTCAACTACAATTACTTTGGCTTTAAGACATTGGAGCACTCATATCTTCTTAAAATCGATAATAAAGTTCATGAACGTCCTCAGCATATGCTGATGAGAGTCTCAATTGGTATTCACTTTGATGACATAGAGGCAGTCTGTGAAACCTACAACTTGATGTCCTTGAAGTGGTTTACTCACGCTTCCCCCACTCTCTTTAATTCTGGTACACCAAGGCCCCAGATGTCCAGCTGTTTTCTTGTCACAATGAAGGATGACAGCATTGAGGGCATTTATGATACACTCCGGCAATGTGCCCTTATTTCTAAAAGTGCTGGGGGTATTGGTGTAAATGTTCATTGCATACGCGGCACTGGTACCTATATTGCTGGTACGAATGGTTACTCCAATGGACTTGTGCCAATGTTACGTGTTTTTAACAATACTGCTCGCTACGTCGATCAGGGTGGTAACAGGAGGCCTGGTGCCTTTGCCATCTATCTCGAGCCATGGCATACGGACATTCTCTCCTTCGTAGAATTACGCAAGAACACTGGTGCAGAAGAGGTTCGTGCTAGGGATCTTTTTTATGCCCTTTGGATCCCCGATCTGTTTATGCGCCGTGTTGAGGCTAATGGCGACTGGAGTCTTATGGATCCGCACGAATGTCCTGGCCTTTCTGATTTGTGGGGTGATCAATTTGATTCACTTTACGAAAGGTATGAAAGGGAGGGCAAAGCGAGACGAACTCTTCCGGCTCAGGAAGTCTGGTAAGTTGTTGTCGTCTTTTTATTGCAGGTATGCCATTATTGAAGCACAAATAGAAACTGGGAATCCATTCATGCTCTACAAAGATTCCTGCAATCGTAAATCGAATCACCAGCACCTTGGTACTCTTAAATGCAGCAATTTATGCACTGAAATTCTTGAGTATACATCTCCCGATGAAATTGCTGTTTGTAACCTAGCCTCTATCTCACTCGGCAAATTCGTCGATCGGGAGCGCCAGACTTTCGACTTCGAAAAGTTGAGATATGTTACTAAAGTCATCACCAAGAATCTGAACAAAGTGATCGATGTCAACTTTTATCCTCTTGAGGAGGTGAGTTTGGTTATAGCTACGGTTATCTTACCTGACGCTCTTCGTTCAGGCTCGACGTTCGAATATGCGTCACCGACCAATCGGTATAGGTGTTCAAGGCTTAGCAGATGCCTTTATGCGTATGCGTTTCCCTTTTGAAAGCTCCGAGGCAAGGGAACTAAATAAGCTCATCTTTGAGAACATTTATTTTGCTGCCCTTGAAGCCAGTTGTGAACTTTCTGCCCTTCTTGGTCCCTATTCCAGCTACGATGGTTCTCCAACTAGCAAAGGCATCTTGCAACCGGATATGTGGGGGGTTGATACTGAAAAACTCACTATTTCTGGTCTAAACTGGTCTGGCCTGAGATTAAAGATCAAAGAGTATGTATTCATTGCACTTGTTTATTAAATTTTCTTACTCAATTTAATTAGTGTTTTTTAGGCAAGGTCTGCGCAATAGTTTGCTAATAGCACCTATGCCAACTGCATCAACGGCACAAATACTAGGAAACACCGAATCCACTGAACCCTTGACAAGCAATGTCTTTTCAAGAAGAGTCCTCTCTGGGGAATTTCAGATTGTCAGTCCCTATTTACTCCACGATTTAATAAAACTGGGAATCTGGTCGGAGGAGTTGAGGCAAGTTATTGTAGCTAATCAAGGCTCTATTCAGCACATAGAGGTAAGGTGCAATATTACCCATGCCTTTTCGTTATTTCTTGCTCTATCTACTACTTTCTTTTTATCAGGGTATCCCAGCTGATGTCAAGCTATTGCACAAGACGGTTTGGGAGATACCTCAAAAAGTTATTATACAGATGGCGGCTGATCGCGCTCCTTTTATTGACCAAAGCCAATCCCTTAATCTCCACTTGGCTCAACCTAACTACGGAAAGATAACAAGCATGCATTTTTTTGCCTGGAAAAAGGTG